ACGCGCCTACTACAAACCAACAACTCGCCCAAGGCTGCTGGGCACCAACGTTGAAGCAGCTGGCTTGCAGGCAGTAGGTGCATACATGGTTCCAAAGCCAGCAACTATAACACTTTCACCTAGCACATGTCATAGCAATGTTGCCCGAGTCCCCGTCCTGCTACCAGTACTGCTCGTTTCTTATCCGTTCTGCGCGCGGGTCATTCGCGCGGGCCAGGCATGTCAGTGGACGATATGTTAGCCCTGCTGCCTTCGGCAAGTCCCGCCACCGTGCCTGGGTGGTGAGTCAGAGTCCTCATGGATGTTTCTGGGGCCTCTTCGAAGGGCTCTCGGGATGCTCTGGGGAGTAGTTTTGAGGCCTGTGGGGGGTCTCTTGGGGGACTGGCCTGTTGGGGGTCTCGTGGGCCTCTTGGGGGCTCGTTGGGTGGCTCTCGGGGCTTCTTGGGGGGCCTCCTGGGGGCCGTCTTGGGGCCCTCTTGGGCAGTCTTAGGGTCCTCTTGGAAGCGGCTTGGGCATTCCTTGGGGCGACCTTGGAGGTGTCTTGGGTTGTTCTGGAGCGCCGGCAAGCCGAAAAGACGAGAAGCCCCCAAATCGGAGGGGCGTCTTTCCCAAACCAAACGGGTCTTCCCAAACCAAACTTGGGCTTGGGTGACGTAGGCTTTGGTTTGGGAAGACCCGGTGTGGTTTGGGTTGACCCGGTTCGTTTGGGAAGACCCGGATGTTGGTTTGGGAAGACCCGGTTGGTTTGGGAAGACCCGGTTGGTTCGGGAAGACCCGGTTGGTTTGGGAAAACTCGGGCGCGTGGTTTGGGAAAACCCGGTTGGTTTGGGAAGACCCGGTTGGTTTGGGAAGACCCGGGGAGTTGGTTCGGGAAGACCCGGTTTGTGTGGGGCGACCCGGAGGTTGGTTTGGGAAGACCCGGTTGGTTTGGGAAAGCCCGGGTTTGGTTTGGGAAGACCCGTTTGGTTTGGGAAGACCCGGTTGGTTCGGGAAGACCCGGAGGTTGGTTTGGGGAGACCTGGCTGGTTTGGGAAGACCCGTTTGGTTTGGGAAGACCCGGGGAGTTGGTTTGGAAAGACCCGGAGGTTGGTTCGGGAAGACCCAAATATTGGTTTGGGAAGACCCGGTTGGTTTGGGAAGACCTGGGTTTGGTTTGGGAAGACCTGGGGAGTTGGTGTGGGAAGGCCCGGTTGGTTTGGGAAGGCCCGGACGTTGTGGTTTGGGAAGACCCGGTTTGTTAGGGGGGGCCTGTGTGAGGTTTGGGAAGGCCCAGGGCTGCGGTTTGGGAAGACGCGGTTGGTTTGGGAAGACTTGGCCATGCGGTTTGGGAAGACCCTGTTGGTTTGGGAAAACCCGAGTTTGGTTTGGGAAGACCCGTGCCTCGTGGTTCGGGAAGGCCCAGTCGGTTTGGGAAGGCCCGCTTTGTTTGGGAAGACCCGGCCGTTGTGGTTTGGGAATGCCCGTTTGGTTGGGATGACCTGGTTGGGTAGGAAAGACCCGGGGTCGTGGTTCGAAATGACCTGGGTGTGTGTGGGAATACGTCGGCACTTGGTTCGGGCAGACCCCCTGGGGCAGGGCAGAGGAGGGGTGGGAAGAGGGAGGAGGGGGAGAAGGAGGAAATGCAGGAGGATGGAGAGGAGGACGAGGAAGAGGAAGGAGGATGGAGAGGGGGAAGAGGAGGAGGAGGAGGACGTGGATGATGGAGAGGAGGAGGAGGAGGAGGAGGAGGAGGACGAGGAGGAGAAGGAGGACGAGGAAAAGGAGGGGGAGGAGGAAGAGGAAGAAGGAGGAGAGGAGAAGGGGGAGGAGGACGAAGTGGAGGCCTCTACGCCGACCCCATCTAGGAGCCCTGGTGGAGCCCGGGCCCCGGGGAGCGGCGGATGGGGGCGCGTTGCAGTCGGTCCCGCCAGGGGCCAGGACATGTCCACAGTCGCCCCTCCCCCTGTGGGTATGGGGAGCGCGGTCTGGAACGGGGCGCTTGCCTGGCGAGCGACTCTGAACATGACGGGTTTGACTATGATTGAGTGCGAGTGTGTGTCTGTCTGCGCAGGATGAGTTTGCGCAGGAGTGAGTCTGAGTGTGAGCGGGTCTGAGCGTGAGTCCATCCGCGAGTCGGTCTGAGTACGAGCGGGTCCAGTGTGAGGGCGAATGGGTCTGCGCGTGGATGGGTGAGCAGCAGGGGCCCCGAGGAGGAGCGGGGCGGGGCGGGGCGGGGCGGGCGGGCGGACCCTAACAGGCGGGTCGGGTCGGGTCGGGCGGGCGGGCCCTAACGGGCGGGTCGGGTCGGGCGGGCGGGTCGGGCGGGCGGGGCATTCAAGTATGGTGGCATGATCGAGCCCGCGCCGCGAGAAACCCTAACGTTGCGGTCGGTCGGTCAGGGCCGCGGTGGGCCCTGAAGGGCGGGCGGGGCGGTTCGTGTCTG